GCATTCGCGCTCGGTTACAGTATACTTCACCTCCGCGTTTGTCATTTTGCGGCTTGTGAAGGCTACGGGTCTCCAAGCACCTGGGTCGGATTCTTGCAAAAGCACCGCTCCAAGTCCGTAGCCGCTGGCGTCCGTCAGCAGCCGCTTCGATGCACCCCTCCGCGGGGGTACCAGGAATTCGGGGTGGCTCAGAGCGCGCTTGATGTGCGCCCAAGCCTCCTCTTGCGCATTGCCCCATCGTGTGCTCCAGTCTGCTATGAAAAGCTTCGTACCTGGCCGTTTGCGCTTGTTAAAGCCCGTACCCCTCAACACAGCGTAAAGTGGTCTAGCTACGTCGGCGAAGTGATCAACAAACTCCGCAAAGTAGTTGGCCAGCCCCAAAAATCTGATCAGATCTTCGCCATTTCGGGGTAGACGAAGGTCGCGGATTCCCTGGACGTGCAGGTCGGAGGGCGTAATCCCCTGCTGTCCAATCCGGTGCCCCAGCACCTCCACCTCTCGCACACCAAAAGAGCACTTGGAGAGCTTGAGTCGCGCGCCCGCAGCCAGAAACGTGTCCAAAACCGACTGCAAGCACTGCAAATGTGCCTCCGCGGTCTGCGTCCCCATACTGATGTCGTCCATGAACGCCCACACGTCCCGGCCCTTCATACCGCCCAGGATGGCGTTCACCACTCGCTGGAATACCGCAGGTGAGTTTTTTAGTCCCTGCGGAAGGCGGACGTACCTGAGCAAGCCAATAACTGTTCGGATGGCGGTGTAGTCGCGGGACTCTTCTGCCAGGCTGACTTGGAAGAAACCATCCTTTAGATCGAATGTAGAAAAAATTCTCTTGCTGCCCATCCAGTCTAACGTGGCGCGTACGTCCTCCATCGGGTAGGAGTCGCCGACGGTAACAGCATTCAAGCCTCGAAAATCAGAAGTGACTCTCGTAGTCCCGTCCTTCTTACGGACAAACACGTTGCACGCCGCCCAGGGGGAAGAGGCGTGCTCTACAACCCCCATCTTGAGAAGCTTCTGCATTGCCGCGCGCTCGAGCTCGTCCTCCTTCGGTGATCTGCGACGGACCGGGGAGCACACCGGTTTTGCGTCTCCCAGCAGAGTGATGGTGTGTTGCACGCCGGTAATGTGGCCCAATCCTTTGAAGACTTGTCGTCGCGTCCACAAAATCTGCCGGAGCCTCTCTTGCATCGAGGGCTCTGGGTGGAAATGTGACAGATCCATTTCACGGATTTCATCGTCCACATCTACGTCATCGATCGCCCCGGCCGTCTCTAAGTCCAACCGAGCGTCCCGGCGTCGTGATTCTCTCCCCTTGCGCCGTCGCCCCCCCACCGTGATCTTCCCCCTCATTGTTCCGAGATTGAGGATCAGGCCTTGGCGCTTCCAGAATTGGCTTCCTAGCAACAGCTTAGATGGCAAGCACGATGCCACTCGCACCGATTCTGAAAAAACTTCCCCCCACAGCCTGAATTGCAGCGTTCCCTGGCCACAGACGGCCATGTCCTTGCCATCAGCTGTAACTGCCCGGGAGGAGTCTGTCTCCCACACGCCGCCGTGTTCCTCGAACCACTCTCGGTCGACCCACACAGAACGGGCTCCGGTGTCGAGAGGCACCCAGAGGGCGTCTTTGCCGACCTGCACCCGTACTGCGACATCCTCGCCCCCACCAGGACTATCCCCAACGCAGCGGCACACCGCCTCAGTCTCAGGTGGCCTTGCCGCTGGGGCTCTAGTCGCTAGTTCCGGTGGGGCGTCTGCGCCTCGCGACCCAAGGTGCTCGCCCTCCCTTTTCCCGTAGCTGTCAATTCTTTGCTCCGAGACCTGGGGGGCTTCTCCGGACAATCGGCTGCGAGATGTCCCTTGATCCCACAGCGATAGCATTTCGCGGTTTCGATCCAGTCCGCTCATTGGCGGACCCGTGCGTGAGACCCAATCGGTGTGACGACTGCACGATCCCCGTCTGCTGGGGCTTCCGATGTCTGCTGCACGCGCTCATGCCGGAAGCGCGTCCGGCCGGCTTCGGGTGCTCTTGCCAAGGCCATCATGGATATGCGTGCCGTGACTTCGTCAAAAGTACCAGGGATAGACAGTGCCAAATTTCGCATGTTGGCGGGGAGCGACTGCACGAAGCGATCCAGCATGATCTCGTCTGAGATCACGTTGGGCAACATCAGAGCGTAAGCGCGCACACGGCCTGCAAAATCACTGACGGTCTCCTTGCCCTCTCGCCAGGCGATCGTGTCAAATTGTAACCGAAGAGCCCTGCGATGACTGGAATTACAGAGCCTTGGTCCCAGTTCCTCCCACAGGTCTTCTTCCGAAGATTCCAATTTCTCAGCGGCAACTACCTCGTAAATTGCCAGAGCGCTTCCTGAAAATGCACGGGGAAGAAGACGCCGGTGGGTTCCGGCTATAACCGGAAAATCATGACAGAGGCGCGTCCATGCCTTCTTCGCAGCAAAAAAATTGCCGTCTCCAGGTGTGTTGATTCTAACAGCTTCCAGTGCCATCGAGTAGATCTTGAAGGCGGCATGGGGGTCTAGAGGGTGTGGCTTTTTGCGTTCTGCCTTGGTTGCGCGTACGCACTCGGCGATTCGGGCAGACTCACCTTTCTCGTCAGACTTTTCAGCGACGGCTCCTTGCCCGCCGATGCCTCGGTCAAGTCTTATACACGTCTCGACGGGACGCTGAGGTTCGTGACGGACTCCCCGACCTGTACCACAGCAGCCGTGTTCTTGTTCAGATGTTCCAGTATCTTTCCTAGCACATCATTAAAGGAAGCTAGGGTGTCAAACAGTCCCTTGTTGGACTGATCCTCAGACTCTCGATAGCTCCGTCTTGCTGCAGCGGCGGCGGGACCTGCAGGAGTCACCGGGCTGGTGACACCGTCCATCGTCGCACGCCCATCTCCACCAGCTGGACCTTGCTCTGGTTCCATCTTGTCTTCGGCGTCCGATCTCGTATCGGCCCTTTGACCAGAATCCATTGCCGATGCAAGTTTTTGTCTCGTTGCTCGGCTGACTGCACTTACAAAATTGTAATGTTGTGCCCGATAAAATGAGCACCGTCAAATCAGGATTTATTTCGTATCCAGAGGTTGCTGCCGAGAGTCCACTCGGAATCCACGGGAATCCACCCGATATCAGCCCCTCTCCTCGGTTTCTCAGGAATCCACCTGATGCCCCCGTTCTCCTTTTTGCTCCCCGACCCCCTCCTTTATACTACCTATCCTACGCGGCGCGCCTTCCCGCCCCCCGGGCGCTGTCCCTCGCGTCTCGCTTCAATCCATTCCCGCCTTCCGTCGGCCCCCTCAATCACCCCATTTCCGTCCTCTTTCCTTTCGCGCCTTGCCGCCTGTTTCCCTTGGCGTCGCCCCGCCATTTCCCTTCGATCCCTCAAGCTCCACTACCCTGTTGGCCCACGCACTGCCCATTACCACGACCGTTTCCCTTCGCAGCGAACGCCGCCCATTCCCGAAACTGACACCGCCTGCCACGTGTGTGTAGGCGCAACAGTACAGTACTGTTGCGGCAATTCCTCCGCGAGATACCGAGCGACCTGTGCCAACGAGAACTCACTCGTCTTCGTCTTTATTCTTCACAAGTCTGCTGCCCTCCCCTTCCCTATCTGCTCCAGGGACGGCTCTTAAGTAATTTATGCCCGGGGGCTGTCCTCTCTTCCCCCGACCTCTCCTGGCGCCCCCTTTCCCTTCAGCTTCCCTCTGCCCCAGTCCTGGCGCCCTCCTCCAGCTCCTTTCCTTTCACCCACACGGCCGGTGGCCTCCCCCGTCTTCTTGTCCCGGTCCAAGTTCCCTCGCAGCCACGGGTTTCCCTTCATTCTCCCTCTGTCTATCGCCGACAGTTCCCCACGCGCATGATCCCGCCACTTCTACTGCCTTTCGGTTGGTACGCCTCGGTTCCGGCCGTGTCCGCTTTGATTCGCCTTACGCGTGTCCACCTTGCCACCTGGGTTCATCCGTAACAGTACTGTATACAGTCGCACCTTCTCTCCCGTAACTGTCTTGCAGGCGTCTATTTTTATACTCTTGTAAAGCGACCCGTGACACTGTTGAGTTCAACATGAAGTTCATGTTCATGTCATGAACATAGAGAAATCCCAGGAAACTCGTGTCCTGCAAAAATGGTCTTAAGAGCAACTTTCTTAACCATTTCTACGACACCAAACACTATCACACCCTGGCCCCGTGCCCCACGTGTCTTTCCTCTACAGTACACCTGATCACAGCAATTAACCTTGGTCTATATATTAACCTGGATTCAGAAATAAACTGGACCAGGTTATTATTGGTTTTGACCTGGAGGAAACAGTCTTATGATAAGTCGCATTTAGAGTTCAAAAAGGGCGAGAACGCATGTCGCCGCCTCGATGTGGTCTTTGGGAAGAGAAGCAGCTCTTTTCTGAGCTGCAGACAATAATATCCGAGCATCGAGTCCATTTCAATGGGCAAGAAGTGGAGCCGTAATTTCTTGAATACTTGTCAGCAATGTCAGAAATCAAGGTTAATCCAGTGGTTCATAAATAAACTGGACCATGTTATATCTGATTTGACCATATATTAATCTGGGTTCACAATTAATCCGGACCATGTTAAATATGGTTATAGACCTGAAAAAGGGGCTTCAGAATTAAGTTGGCCCAGGTTAATTGCTGTGATCAGTGTACAGTATCAATCAAGGGTACAGTATCCGCACTTAAAATTTCTATCCTTTCTTTAACACTTTGGCTCACCACTGCAATTCACCCCGGCCCGGCCCAATGCCGGGCCTTCAGTTGAGCAGAGCTCTTCTGAAGCCCAATGTTTGGCCTTCAATAGAGCTCTGCTCTTCCACCGCTTTCCCGCCCTGTGTCCCACCACCATTGCCGTGCCTTTCCACTGCCTCCCCCCTGTCCCTCCCCCGCCACACGCTCCTCCCGCCACCGAGCCCCTCCCCCCCCCCGCTCCACCCTCCCCCGTCTCTCTCAACACGGGATGTGGCATGGGCAGCATTCGCCGCCTGCTGTGCACCTTCGCCGTCCTCTGGATACTTGTTGCCACCAACCCAGGCCCCTCTTCCTTCCGCCACTTTCTCACCAAACTCCACCGCACCCACCTGCACACGCCCACCTGCCAGAAAGCCCACTCCCGTGACATTTGCCTCCACGCCCGCCAAGCCTTCCCTCACCTGTCCGCCGCTCTCGAGTCCATCTTCGCCCCCCATCGCCAAGTCCCTTCCTGGCTGCCCGACGGCCCGCCGCACCACTTCGAGGTTGTCGACTGCGCCGTCTTCACCTTGGCTCGCACCCGACTCGCAGACCTCCCCGACCGCCCGCGCCACAACTTTATAGGCATCCTCGGTGCCTGGCTCCCGCTCCCGCATACGGCCCGCCTCCTCGGCTCCGTCGAATCCCGTAATTTCGTGCGCTACCTTCGCCGCCGCGTCGCCTTGGTCAAGCGCGCCGCCTTCGATCAGGATCTGCGCTCCTTCGAGGCCTTTCGGGAGCGCTCGCTCCCAGATCGCCCTTGGGAATGGTTGATTGTATACTTTGCTATCGTCGGCGCTATTTGGTTCATGTTTCCGCAGCACGCCACCCAACATTTCACCTTGACTTGGCAAAATGTACGCCTCAAGGGCAACTGGTGGTGCATGATTCTCTTCCATCTGTCGCATGGCGGATCGCTGCTCAGGCTTTGCCGCACGGTCGCGTCGATTAGCTTTTTGGCACCGATTCTCATTTCTCGCCGCATAATCAATTTGTCCGGCATGTACGGTGTACTTCTCACGTCATCCGCTACATCCACGGCGCTGGGCATGCTTGTGCTTGCTCGCAGATACGTTTTCATGACCAGAGAGTCTGGGACTAGATCGCCGATCGAAATTAATGGCGGCGGTGCGTGCGTTTATGCGCTGCTCGTGGCGGCATGTCTTGCACCTGACAGCAATCGCAGTTTCCCAGGAGGGGCTCGTCCGTTTGAGCTGCTTATGCTAAACGTTCTCTTCGATTCCTTTTTCCTTGCGGGCAAGAGAAAAATTGCTGACTATATCGCGCATACGGGTGCAGCGCTCGGCTCATGGCTATTTTGTTCTATCAACCAGTCCTCGGAGTACGTCAGCTGACAAGTCAGATCGCCGCTATAAAGTGAATGACAAAGAATACGTTCAGTGCTGTAATGGCAAGATATGGATGCAACAGCAAGTGTGGTGATTCATGTGGTGGTTCGTGGCGGGAGTAACGCGCAAGGCGGCATGGATGTCTCTTATGACGTGAGTTTTATATTACAGCATATGGGTTACATCAATAGGGGGCGGAGGGAAGCGGGAGCGGTAAGCGATGGTGCGTTCCTACGGGCGAATACAAGTGCAGTTGATTTGCAACAACAATTTTCTTTGACAATTTTCTTTCCACATTGCCAATTATGCAAATCGTAGAATCTGTTGTAATGTAACATTCTTCCTAGCATACTGCTAGGAAATGGTCGCGGTGTAGATGCGGTGGGCGGAGAGCTAGCTAATCTTCGTGTGGAACGCCATTCTGGAGGCGTATACCGCCAACTATGCTTAGGGCAGAGTTCACCAACATGGAGAGAGTTGCTCCAGCTAGAAAAGCCATGACTCCTTGAAACAGTGGGGTGAATAAGAGCGAGGCGGCGAGGTAGTCATTGAGCTCTGCAGCAGCTTTCCATTTTTCAGTAGAACCCGCGGGAATGACCGGGTCGTGTGAAAGGACGCGAGTGAGCCATTTGAAGAGCTCTATGTATGGACTTTCATTAACGGTGTAGGTGAAGAGCTTCGAAAGCACGGCGGATAACATCGGCTTTTCCGTAGAGCTGAACATGATGGCGGCGAAGAAAAAAGCAAACACGACTAAAAGCCGCACGGTGCCATGCAGCAACGCGACGAAGAAGCAAAACCAGGCGATGTTCGGCACGCTAACGCGCCCGAGCACAAAGTCGTCCCTCGCCTGGCCGTGCGCCTGCGCTCCGTGCGCGCCCCTGGCGTGGTTGGTGGCGAGCAGCGCCTGGCGCGCGTACTGCGCGTACTGGCGCGCGAGGCAGGCCGCGGCGGGGTACGCGCGCGACAGATGCGAGCTCAGCGGCTCTGCGTTTGCGCCGCGCAGAAGCATGTCATACAGCACGACCGCTATGCGCGCCTGCACGTGCGGCGGCGGCGCGGCGGCGGCGTCGCGCTGCGAGGACGAAGGCGCGGGCGGGCGCGCTGGCACGAGTACGTCCCCCGCAGGCACATGCTCAGGCGGCTGCGTCGGCGCCTGCCCGGGGACCGGCACGGCGTGCTCCGCGGCGCTGCGGTCCGCTGCCGCGGACATGTCACGCGGGGCGGGGGGAGATGGGACGGGGCGGCGGCGGGAAGGGGGGCGCGGGGGGCGGCGGAGGAGGCGGCGGACGCGGTTGAGGGGTGGGTGGGTGAGATGAGGAGACCTCGTGGGGGTCTGGATTGTGCCATGCTGGACCTAATCACCGATGTAAAAAAGGGATGGCGGATTAATAAAATGCAAATATGAGGCGTGAATGTCGTGCCGGTATCGCGGCCTGGCGCGCTTCCGTGCAGTGATAGGGCAGCGAGAGACAGGGCGGGCAGGTGCTGGCGACGGAATTTAGGTTTATTCTCAAGCGCAAGTGTTGGCAACGGTTCTAGCTGGGCAAGCACTACCCTTGGTACCGTTGGTACTGTATGCCCTCTGTAGCGATAAATGTAATAAACTCTTTAGTTTTCTCTTCCTTGGAATTCGCTGAAATCCAACAGGGACGTCTGCGGCGGAAGGCTGCCAAAGCTTCATTGCTGCCGTCATGTTGTACTGTTCTGTTCATACAGACATTTATTTATTGCTGCCGTCATGTTGTACTGTTCTGTTCATACAGACATTTATTTATTTATTCATCCATACTGTACCAATTGAATTGGCAGATTGCGTTTTCTTCGACGGTAAATTACAGTACATTCGACACGTCTTATCGTAACAGGACGGGCCGCTGGTCGAACACACAGGCCCTGCCAACGCAGCCACATGTCTGCCCTGGGTGCATCGGGCCAATAAAATTCTGCCACTTCGCCACTTTATGATAGAGCTTCAACAGGTATACTGTTATCCACCGTTTCGTGTTATTGGTGTGGCGTACCACACGTGGCACAGGGACTGCACCAACCGCGCGCCTACTCGGAGATAGTGTGGGTTTTCTCGGAAAAGAAAACCCAAAAATTAAAAAACAAAGGTTTAATCTGAGAACAGTCGACGACCGACTGTTTTGCAGCGCGTGTGTCCCGCCGACAACCGGCAGTGAGCAGTTGCGCTGAGCTTTCTCTCAGATCTTCCGGCGCCTCTTCGACTCCCGGCTATTCCGGGCCGAGGCGTCTCCTTATATACCGCAGTATGGAACTAATCACCCTAAAAACGCAAGCGAGACATGACAGTTCTGTACCCTAATGGTACAGTTTGTCATACAGTACAGTAGATTATCTTAGTTTCTACACTCCCCCATCTCCAGTAGTTGAGCTTGTGTTAGTGCGAATAATCCACTGTTGAACTGGTGTCTTGTCGAGACCAGTTCGAATAAGCTTGTCTAAGGCATCGTTTGATTTCTCTTTCCTGAGTGCATCAGCGATATTGTCGTCAGATGAGACGAGCCCAACATTGGAAATTTCTTCCCTGTTCTACGCCTCTCGGGCTGCAGCAATGTCGATCATCAATCGGCGCTCTGTTTTCGATGAAGCTTTCGTAATCACGTCGAACATTTGAAGCGAATGCGTAAGAATGTGGAGAGGAATTTCCATGTTGTAGATCATCTGTAAGTCATGACGGATTATAAACGCTCTATCAAAGCCATCCGCAAATGCGTATACCTCCCCACCTAATATGGATCTTACCACACGTTTGGACTTACGGCTTGAGTACTCCAGAATGTGGGTATTATCATCCTTGTCACAGAGCAGAGTGATGAAACCAAGTTGGGATGACAAGTCGTCGTTTCCAGCGAACGAAGCATCCGTGTAGACCCGGAGATGTAACGACTCTTTTCCAGTTCGCCGTATGACAAGCATGCATCTTTTGTCCTTTTGGCCTTGAGAAGGGCCCCGTTATGGTCGTTCAACTTGTCACGACCGAAAGTCTCCAGTGTGACTTGTGCAGCCTTGCTAATGACACAGCACAGATCAGGACGAGTGTGACTCATCCATGCTAACATTGCTCGATAAGAGCGGAATTGGTCGAATGATGCATCACTTTGTATAAGCCTGAGGGTTTTTCATATCCCTCTTGGTTGATTGTAAAGCGCCCAGGCTCCACGGTTCTGATGCAAGTTCCAAAGAACTCGAAGTTGTCCCACTCTCTTGGCTTGGAGTCAAATCTCTGTAGGGTCTTTTCAGTGAGTTGCTGCATATTCTCATTACCAGCAATGCAGCTATCGTCTACGTAGACTCCCATGACACCGTCAACATCTTGCTCATTCCTTTTGATATAGGGAGATGGATCTCCTCGAAGCGGAATTAGCCCCAAGTCATCTTTAGCATGTCGATCCACAGTCACACCCCAGTAGTCACCGGCATCTGTTGTGCCGTAAATTGGTCGCAAAAGTTCCAGGACATCGTCCTCAGTGATACCAAAAGTTTCCAGGTCCCTTTTCTTTGGCAATAGGAAGATTTATCGAGTAAGCTTCTCCTTGTGGTATACCCCAAACGGAAATAAGATTAGGACTGGATCAAGGACAGAAAGGCAACGAGCCTTACAGCCATGCGCGCACACACGTGTCCTCCACGTGTACAGGACGCGTACTACACGTGGACTGTCAGCCCCGCCGGCTGACAGCGTTACAGTGTCGGTAGACCGGGGCACTACTGTAGAGTTATGATAGACTACAATGTACATTAAATATGAGCGGACCGCCGGCGGTGGAGGACGACAAGCACGGACTTGTCAAGGATCCTCCACCTTGGTCCGCCCGCTTACTTTTAGGTACTTCCGTCCGTTTTACCTAGGAGTCGCACCGCGCGCGGGTTGAGAACGCGCGTAGCACGCCCACGAGCCGGCTCCGCCTCCGCCCGTCGGTACTGGATGGTCACCCAGTACCGCTCCGGGGCGTCGAGGCGTAGAACCGCTCGCGCGTGCGCGCGTCCTCCCCGATCCCGCTCTACCACCGCTACCTCGAGCCTGTGCTCGGTACCGTGGGTGGGCCGTGCTTCTATCTTCCCGCCGATCGGGGTCTTTTCGAACTGTCAGTACTCACCCCCCTCGTCGTTGGGGGTGATTATACTACAGTGGTCTCCCGACCTAGAAGACTCTCAAGATCGAACCGAGAAGACTATCGTTTACCTCGGCGTCCGTACGCGTCGAGATGAGTGGCGAATATCCCACCTCGATTCGCTCGGAGCCCGCCGATGTGCGAGAGGCCGCGCTCCGCGTCCGAGTCGGCCACGGCGACGCTGGTCCTCGAGACCGCGAACCGTCGCCCGACTTCTCCAAAGGACGCGGTCGCGCGATGTACGATCCCATTGCGGAGTATATCGAAGATGTCCGAACATCCCTCCGTATCGACATCTCTGACAGCGTCTACGCCCGCTGTATGGATGAGTTGCGCTCCTTCCGCGAAGGAAGGATTGAGCGCGTAACTCAGTCCTTGGAGAACCTGCGCGCCGTCGTCGACCAGGTACAGTCCCGTTTGGTACTGGTCGAAGAGGCGCGCATCGATTCCCCCGCTGTGGACGTTGCAGGTCGACCCGTGAGTGCAGACTCCGGAGTCCGACCCGACCCGCAACCCTTCCCATCAGCCGAACAGATGGGAGCGTTCGCGCACATGGCGGCGGAGCTCAACTCAACGCGCCGCCGTGCCCGTGAGATGGAACAGACGTCGGCCGAGAGGCCGCCCGGAGCCCCCTCGAGTGGGCCCGGTGCCACTGTTTCTCCGGGCGCATCCGGAGCGCAGGAGTGGCCCCCGACTGGAGCCGTCACCAGTCGGAGGGCGGAGAACATCAAGCCGACGGCGGACGCCAACTTCGCGTCCGAGACTCAAGCCCTGCCGTATGCATCCGGAAGCATGCGACAGTCCCGACGGGTACCGGACCAACCCGACCGTGGCCGTGGAGGAGTCGCCTGCGGATCAGGGGAACCGATTCTCCCCTTCGATCCTCGCTGGAGCGGCTACCAGCCAGCGGATCTTACCGCGCATCCCGGCCCCGTCGACGTCCGAACGTTGCCCGTCACGCCGTTCGGAACGTTGGGCCCCGCCGAACCCGGGCTCGAGCCCGTCCACACTATGATACAGGAGTTCAGCGCCGTCGCGAACTACCGCATGTATCGGTTCGACAACACCTCGAGGCTCGTTACCTCGGGTGACGCGGGACGGATCGCGAAGTACGTCCAACGCTGCCGTGGGCTCCGTCCCACGATGAAGAGCTTCGACGGTACTGACGCGATTCAGTTGCTCCCGTTCCTGAAGGATATCCGGATAACCTTCAATGCCCAGCACCTGACCGAAGGTGTGGCAATCCGTGTCTTCGCTCACTTCCTCGAGCGGGACGCGGAGCGGTTGTATACGAGTTACACCATGCGCGGCCTCCGCGCCGGCCAGCTCTACGACGACACGAGCTGGCCTGGTCTCGTCAACCAATTTATCAAACGCTACCTAACCGACAGCGTGTTAGGAGAAGCGTTTGATGCTGTCGCGTCGGCGCGACAGCTCCCTCACGAAACCGAGAACACGTTCGCAGACCGGCTGGGATCCTCCGCGTTCCGATGCACGGCCGTGTTCTCAGAACAAGCCCTCGCGCACTACTTCGTGCGTGGGTTATTCACTGCGACCCGGGCCGCAGTGGCAGAGACGGTACAACGGTTGCCCGGACAACAGAAGACCGAACTCTCCACGATTCGCCGTATCGCAACGGCCGAGGGTACAACCTACCGCGCCCGTGGCGGGTTGCCGCTGCCGGACCCGAAGCCGGCAGGGAAGGGAGTCCGAGCTCCAAGGTCGCACGGAACGAGTTCGCCGGCGACCGCCCTCCACATTGGAGAAGATGAGTGGCAGGCCGACCTTGTCCTCATTACGCGAGGCTTCGACTGGGCAGGAGGCCGACCCCCTACGCCAGCTTCCACCGGTTCGACCGGAAGCTTCGCAACAG